TATATTAGTTTTAACATAGGCCTATATTCGTTTTTCCAAAAGCTTTTAGGGTGAGATCGCACACCTTTATTTGTTCCGAGGAAGGGTGGATATGTATGTAGGCTACACAGTAGACAGACAGCATGATTTACAGCTCAACATTGTGTCAGCTTCAAATGATTTCTGCAATCCTGTTCTTCCCACAGAAGTTCTGTACTTCAGCTACTGTACGACAGGGAAGGCTAAAGGACACCGTGATAATTAGCATAAAGAAAGATGACGTGCTTTTCTTATTTTGTGTGTTTACTTTGTATCAATAGCTTTTCAAGTTTCTCAGTGCCAGTTTTCAAATTGTAAATCAGTTTTCAACATGTAAATGATTGTTTAGACCGCTGCTGAAGAAGAACATGGTGTTGTCACATATGGGTTACGTTGGATTTGGCAATTTGAAATATTTTTTATAAAGTGTGGACTTTCCACTTGTTTGTAAGGCACCACTTCTTGTCATCAACAGATTTAAATATTTATAGTTTTTAAATTTCAAAAAAAGAGAAAAAATAGAGAAATGAAATTTCAATGTCGCAGAATTTCATTTCTCACACGCGCCTCCTGGTGGAGGATGACTTTATGGTCTCTTTATGACTTTAAATAATACTGTCAGTGTCAATTTATTAATAATAATAATCATATTTTTTCAGGGTAGGCATTATTTTAGTCATAATTATAAAAATAATAATAAGTATTTAATTTATAGACTAATTTATAGCAATTTTTCTCACCACATTATTTAAACTATCACAAAAAAGTATTCATTTTATGACACAACAAATCTTGTTTTTAATATCAGCTGAACTGTTTGGGCCTTTAGATGTTTATCAGTACCTGCTTATACTTTAGGAATGTAAAACTGTAAGTAGACTTCATGCAGATGGCTTGTTAGTACTGATGTCTGTCGTTCATGATAAAGTACTCTCTGTACAGTGTGTTCTGATCCTTCACGTCAAGAAGTACTTCAGTTCTGTAAAACGATGCACGTCTCTCATGCTCACAGATAAGTATTGCAGCGTCATTCTAGTAGTTTCCGGTAGGTTGAGAATCACCAGATACTTTACTCTATATCCGTTTGTGTTATTCGCATGCCAGACATGGTTTAATGCTTCTTTATTTTTCTTTTTGTATCTCATTTTCATTCTTATTTTCACCAGTTCGGGTTACTGTAATATTTTCAATGACTTCTATGTCTCATCATTGGGAGCCAAAATGTTCAAACTCCTTTTGCAGTCATTATAAATTTATAAAAGAGCACCTGAGTGCAAAGAATGACTAAACACTAATTTAAGCCACGCAGTTAGCATACCGAACATCTCATAAGCACAAATAATAGTCATCACTGTATAGACAGCTAAATGAAACCTGGCATTAGTGTTTGTGACCAACAGGCCATGTTGAAATCCTGCATGTCTGGATGTTTAACAAACACTTCACACTTACAAGTACAGTAAATATAGCAAGGGCAAAGTATGAATATGTCGTAATCTGAGTCACAGAAACTAGTTTCGCATACGGTCAGCCCAGGATCAGGATTATCATAACACAAGTGTTTCCCAGAAATGGTGTTTCATTAAAATGCCATTGCAACACTGATTGATTTTTTAATTTAGTAAGACATTGAGCTTTCGAGTTCAGTTTAGGTTTTATTTGAATATCACATACAGTATAATACAGATAAACACTTTAAGATTTATATATAAATATATTTTTTAATATTTCATTTTTTTCAATACACTTTCAAATAAAACAGAATATGACTGTTTTACTTTAGGAAAATAAATACAAGAAAGTAGCAAACACAGCATTATAAAACAAGTCACATCCTGCACGTTTCCCAGCACCTTACTTCCTATTACCTATGCAACTTTACGTGATTATATGTTATCTCATCAAATGAGATGAGATGATATCTAACATGTCCACATGTTCTTTGCAGTCAGTCTCTGTTCTGCGATCTTCAGCTGATGGAGCTCTTCCGTGACCTTCTGGGTTCATCGATAAGCTGCGTTGCTGCAAAGGTCAAGCTCAAATCTGCTGCTGCTGCCGTCTGACTGTCCATGAATGGGAAAACCTCTCTGGTAAAGCGGGTCACAAAACATGGCATCTGCTTTTTGCCGCCCAACACTTTCCCTCTGGATTCAAAGTTGTAGGCCACCTGGTAGTTTAGTCGAGTCAGAAGTCTTTGGATCTCCAGCTCTGGACCTCCTTCCTTTTCTAGCAAATCACAGAGGGTTTGAATCAACACCGAGCCCAGAGGATGCATGAATGCAGCGTAACCTAGAACACGAATGAACGTACGTGAGTGAGGAACTGAAGTGTTTGTGACTTTACAAACTATGCAAACAATGTTTTGGAGTTAATAAGTCACACCTGGAGATGTGGCGTACATGACTGCTGTGTCAATAGGAATGGAAAAGAGCTCAGACATGCCGTCCTCTTCCTCTGAGAATGAAGAATCTGCCTCCACCTCCGCACCTCCATCCAACTCATGCCCTCGACAAGCCTGAACACCAGAAGGTTAATGTTCTGTTAAAATCTGTAACAAATTTAAACTCAACGTTTGTATTTATTTGGTGAGTAGACATTCAATACATTTTTAACAACTGTGGGAGAAAACCCACACACACAAAAAAGCTCTATATTTTCATATTTCTCATTCATTTCCTATGGTGGTCATTTTTGACCATGACGAGCCCAAGAGACCTTTTTTGCTTTTTAGACTTTTCAAATCATGTCCACAATTTTTTGTTAGTTCACCAGGGTTATTGTAGCTGAAACTAAAACTTATTTTATTTACTTGAAATAAATTAAAAGTTAACTGAAATAAAATTGCTAAGGCAGCACTTGTCATTTTAATTTAGTTTGACTTGATGTACTCAAATATTACTAAAAATATTACAAAAAAATGTTTTTTCTATTACTGATTTTTTTAATTACCAATTTTTAAATAAAAAAATTTAAATGACAAAAAATATAAAAACTGATTCAAAATATTAATGAAAACTATAATAATATCTCAATGATAGTAAAATAACACTGGTATTCACATAGTTTCGTACCATTCCAATGACCAATGTATAAAGCGATGTAAAAAATTCAAAACATAACATTTTTCGGTCTAAAATGACTGAATAGTGCCAGAAAGTCAAAGGAATTTAAATCCGGAATGTTATAACCACTGTGAGTACGTTTTTTTTTTATTTTATTTTTTTATGTACTGTAATTTTTAACTGTAAAATATACTGTACCTGGATGAGGAAGAGTTTGCTCTTGTCTGCCATTGACGGGCCTCCAAAGTAACTGTAGATCTCTGCCAGTTTCACAGCACGTCCATCAGCGCCAAACACAACACCCTCCTCACCGTGACTGGATATGACACCCACAAAACAGTCTTTGACCATCTTCTTGCTCTCTGAGGATGGAGGACAGTGTTAGTGAGTATTCTGAATGGGCTGCACAAGTTTCATTTCTGTCATTACTATTCAAATTTAGGCTATTGTGATTATCTGCAGTCATAACTGTCTGCAGTTTTGCATAATGGCAAAATCTCTTCCATGCAAACTCATTGACTCAAAACCTACACTCTAAAAAATGCTGGGTTGTTTCAACCCAACTTTGGGTCAAATATGGACTAACCCAACCGTTGGGTTAAATTTTTACATTAAATTTTTAACCCAAAAGTTGGGTTAGTCCATATTTGACCCAAAGTTGGGTTGAAACAACCCAGCATTTTTTAGAGTGTATTAATCAAAATCATAAAATAATAATAAAATAACTCTCATTCATTGAAACCAAAAACGTAGATTTTATTTATTAGACAAAATGTCAGTACATCAAGATGTGCTCACATTACCTGCTTTAAATGCTTCATAGATCTCATTAGCTTCGATGTCCATTCTGATGTCCACAGAGAAGCCGAGCTTGGTGAGGATTTTGTGAAGTCTTCTAGTGTCTCTCTTCACCCCGTTCCTCTTGCTCAGACCTGCACCTGAATAGAAGTTCTCCACAGACACTATCAACGCCCTGTTCTTCATTCTCTTGTAAGCTGTGAAAGGAAATTTACAAAAAGACATGATTTTCTCTTCTGTCAAACTCTGAATTTCAATGCAATCGATTTGTATCTGAATAAGCTGCATGAGTTCGTTAAGGCGTCTGCCTGCATATATACTAGTCCAGCCCTAAGTTACTTGCCATTTATGGAGAATGTCGCTCTTAGGTAATACCTTTGTGTCATCACCTTTGTGATTATACAACTCAAATAACTTCAATGTCTGCTAACCTAAAAGGGAATAAACCTTTCAGGTGCTTTTTAGGTATTTACTCTTGCAAGATTTTGTGAGGAAGCAGACTGGTGAATTTCAATTGAAATCAATAATAGAACATGTTGGGAAGATCCAGTTAATGTTTACTTTTATGATGATAAATCTTTTTGAAATTAATCTCTGTTTATAGGCACGCTGTAAAAAAAAAAGAGTTTTCAAAGAAAATAAAGTTGATTGGAGTCTGTTTTACGAGAAAATACCATTTCAGTCTTTCAGCTTAAAAACTTCGTTTAATTCAATGTTACATGCCTTTTCTTTTGTAGTTGTTTGTGAAAATGACTAGCAATTTCTATAAGTGAACTTTGTTTCGTAAATCGTACGCCAATTTTTTTAGTGTAAGTTAACATCTTGGCAACAAACAGGCTACTGTATGTAAGCCCGTTTCCGCCACTGAATAAAAAATAAAAGAGGTAATTGCGACTTTTTAATCTCACAATTCTGACTTTTTTTCTCAGAACTGCGTGATACAAACTCGCAATTGCGAAACATAGTCGCAATCCTGAGAAATAAAGTCAGAACTGCGAGATATAAGCTCACAATTCTGACTTTTTTTCTCGCAATTCTGACTTTTTTTCTCAGAATTGTGAGATTTAAACTTGCAATTCTGAGAACATATCAGTCTTTTTTTCCCCCCTCAAAATGTGACTTTATAACTCGCAATTGTGAGTTTAGTTCTTTTAACATATTGACCAAACTATGTTGCAACACTATATGTGGTAAATTGTCACAATGGGAACTTTCATTGAATAGTCAATTATGTTGTTTTCGACAAATTTAAAAAGAATTCTGAAGCACTTTTATGTTGTTTTGTTTTGGCCAACTTGGAGTATGCAATTACTACATATAAAACTCAAGTGACAACTTAGCCAAGTTAAGTGTGACTGAAAAACTGGAACCGATATTACAAAAATTTAATATTTGTGTCAAAATCACTTCTGACTTGAAACCTTATAGTTACAGTCATTGTGTCTGATGGCTCCCGATCTCATTTTTATTTTAATTGAGAATAAATAAATTTGTTTTCAAGTATTTTTAATATTATATTCAGTTCAATTGAAAGACATAATGGAGTTCACAGTTAGAATAAACTGGATTCGTGTGGTTTGATGGCATGCATATTTTCAGAGCAATTTTCCTTTTGACAAAATTTCACACTGTATTCCCCTTGTCTCAGACTTCCTCACTCTTATCTATCGGTCTACCCAAATCTTTCCTGGTATATAAGAATATAATTCCCACTGTCAGGGTTCAATTAGCATTAAAGTTGCTCTAAATAATGTTCGGAACAACTTACCTCATCTGTACTGAACAATTATCAAAGGTTAACATACTAAAATAACAAAGCATTGTTTTGGCCAACGTATATTATAATGAATAAAGTGTATCAAACTGTTTGAAATCAACCAAAGTCAGAAAATTAAATTAGTATTTATGGTAGTCACAAGTTCAAAGGTGGAATGCATAGCTCCAGAGAAACATTCCGATTACGTACATTGCAGCTTTCCTCTTCCAAACTTCCTTAAAAATAATGTCTATACTTGTATGTCTGTCTACCTAAGTAACACCCAAGTGTTTCCTGCACGAGTTTAATTCCTGATTCTTCTACCATAGATAGTATTCAAATACTTCGTTTACTCATCATTTTTAAGTTACTCAAAATAATGTTCAGAGGCAATTACTCCATCTTTATTCATGTTTGCTCTCATAAACGTGTGAAAGTAAATTTAGTTACGACTAAAAACAGATTTACACACACACACACATAAAGAACAAAGTATGGTTAAAGTATTTAGTGTATATTGATGGCAATACTTTGAACTTGTACATCAAGAAATAAACGATCTTTTATTGAATGCTATCAATTCTTGTGTCATTCAAGACCAAAAATCCCTACAGAATTAATTAAGTGTTATGTTTCATTTATCAGAAATCCCACTTATATTTGTACGTTTTGTTACAAAAATCGACTTCATTCATCTACCATGTTTATCGTGTTTGTTCTTTTCATAACACGTGAGTGAAATGTCTGCAAAATAATCTGCCAAAACACAAAGCAAAGCCTCAAGGATCATTAAGGACCATTATCAATGAATTTCTGATAGCCTATATTTGAATGTGTAGTCAAGTGTGCACATAACAGTAACTTCCCTTTCGAAAATAACAATGACTTTATTATAATAAAAGTGAAGTAACCATTATTATAATTTTTTTTTTTTGCATATTGATTACAATTTTTATAACAACAGTTTAACTAAAAATACCGTGGTTATGGTTAGTGTAGCAAAACCATAGTTAATTTGTTACCATCAGTGTTGGGCTGTAACTAGTTACTGTAATAATATTACTTTTTGCAGTACTATAGTGTAACTAATTACTAATAAGATTTCAGTAATAATATTACAGTTACCATCCATAAAACAGCTAGTTATTTTTGATGCCTCAACCCCTACTGATTTGAAATCCAACAATCCAATAATTCCTAGATTGATTTTCATAATTTTCACGACTTGCACAGGCACATGAAGTCACCAGTGCATCAGGAAAGCTTGGAATATGGAAAAGCTTACATTCAGCGGATGGAAATATTGCCATTACACTGATTTTGTCAGGAGAGAAGGTCATCTGAACACAGATGTGTAAGTTGCGGCATTACTTTACTGTACCATTACATGGCTTGCCCACCCACATCCCTCTGATCCCAATATAAATTATATTACTATAATTAAAAATCGTATGAACTTATGTGATTTCTTTTGAGAAAATAGGCTACTTCATGAAATATAATCATATTTGGGTAACAGATAGCAACAATTAGCTTCAAGCTACACATGACAATTAATGCAACACTTTTACTTAAAAGTCACTATCAATCACCATTGAGTATTTGTAAAAACTTCTGACTGCGATCCAATGTAGATTTTGGACAAATGATGAGGCAGAAATATATTGTTAGTAACATTTTAGAAGATTTTTATGGGGAAGGTAATTACAACTTCTGTGGGGCGTGAAGGAAAAGTAATGTAACTAGTAGTGTAACTAATTTCTGTTGCCAGATAGTAATAAGTAAAGTAATAATATTAATTTTGAAAGGAGAAACTAGTAACGAGTAATAAATTACATTTTTGGAGTAACAAGCCCAACACTGGTTAACATACTATTAGTTAATTTGTTTTCCGTACTATTACAGCGGAATGCAAAAGGAAAAAAGAATGCAGCGACTGAAAAGAGCTTAGATATATAGATATTATACATAAATATTATAGTTATAACATGTCACGTTAAAATACCAAGCGTCAATTTATTCATGACGTTCATGACATAAAACATGAAGGAAAATCGACAGCTCATTCAGTCAAACAGACGGATAAGCGTTATCTGTGGGCCAACCTTATGATATGAAATAATTCGTTTCAGTCTTTTTTTAATAGAACATAGACATAATAAGTATTTATTATGCTAATGAAATAGAAGTTCCCCAAACCGGAAGTGCCACCCCTAATTCAGTTCAGTTGTGGTTGGGTTGCAGTTTCCCTCCCGGCCTGAGGGCGGCAGCAGAGCGCGCAGTTCCCGAGCAGATGAATTACGTCAGAGGAGTTGCCTACACGACTGTGTCTGTAACGTGGAAGTAGGAGAATCTCACAGAGGTATTGGTTTGCTTTTCAGTCAAATGTGTCTTTCTTTATTGTTTTTAATTATATTATCTGTCGTGACGGAATACGTGGCTTGAACACGCTTATAAAGACTGAATGTTAAATGAAGTTTGCTCTGGTAATGACTGAAAGTGAAACCAGTGTCTGATTCTGGTTGATGTAACTCTCATATCTGACACGTAATCAAACTCATTCATAAATAGTTGATGTTTTGGTGTTCATTAAAGCTGTACGAATTCTGCTTACAGTAGTGTCAGTCATGTATGGGATGTAATCAAACATATCTGTGTTTTGCAAAAGTGTATGGCATTACAAAGGCCAAAGCAGAGCTGCTGTGAAGACATGCCTACCAAGAAGAAAAATGCCATTCCTGACAGGTTAGTTGTTATAATTGTACTTATTTTATAAGGTTCATTAACTGAAGTAAAGCTTTAAGGATTGTTTGTGTCTCCTTTAGATGGACAGACTATACAGCAGTGGGTAAACGGATCCCTGGAACTCGCTTCATCGCTTTTAAAGTTCCCTTAAAACAGGTTTGAAGACATTCACAAATCCTCCACCTGTTTGAAACGTGCATATGAGCTTAGATTTAATGCCAGTGCTTTTTTTTTTTTTTTTTTAAGTCTGAAGTAAAGCTTTAAGGATTGTTTGTGTCTCCTTTAGATGGACAGACTATACAGCAGTGGGTAAACGGATCCCTGGAACTCGCTTCATCGCTTTTAAAGTTCCCTTAAAACAGGTTTGAAGACATTCACAAATCCTCCACCTGTTTGAAACGTGCATATGAGCTTAGATTTAATGCCAGTGCTTTTTTTTTTTAAGTCTTTTAGATATCATTTAACACAATCAGAAGCCTTTGGACCGTTTGATCTTGTGCGTATTTTAGAGAAGAAAGGACAACAACTGGGTCTCATCATTGATCTGACCTACACAACTCGCTACTACAAAGTAGAGGTAGGAATTAAAGCCTAAACAAATAGCTAATCATATTTTTTTGCTCATGAAAGTGTAGACATCTCCTCCTTGCCGCAGAATCCAGCTTGACTAGGTTGGAGCTTGAGTTTTTGTCAGGGTTGAGGGAAGTTGATGGACTGATTTTCTCTGAATGTGTGATTGTGTTTGTGTCAGGATTTGCCAAACACATTGTACCACCTGAAGATCTTCACAGCAGGGCATGAAGTGCCAAACGATGCCACGATTCTCAGCTTCAAGAAGGCCGTCAGACATTTTCTGCATGACAATGAAAACAATGGTGAGTTTTAGTTGATTAAATCAATGTGAAATCAAAAATGGCTTTCTTAATTCCCTACTGTTCGGTAAGATTTGATTAATATTCCTGAAAGAAGTCTTTTAAGCTTACCAAGGCTGCATTTATTTGATTCATTAAAACAGTCAAATTGTGAAATAATATTACAATTTAAAATAAAGGTTTTCTATTTGAATATATTTTATATTCCTCTGATGCAAAGCTGAATTTTCAGCATCATTACTCCAATCTTCAGTGTCACATGAGCCTTCAGAAATCATTCTAATATGCTGATTTGCTGCTCATGAAACATTTATTATTATTATTAATGTTGAAAACAGTTGTACTGCTTCATATTTTTATGGATTTCAGGCAGTGGCGTAACTTAGTAATGACGGGCCCCAGTGCAGGCTATTACAACGGGCCCCCTGGGGTGCACATACAAACAGCGCTCGTGTCTAGAAGGGAACCCATATAAGCAAATTTGTGCCTAACCTACTTAATTTAGACCAACTAAAATCAGTATCT